AGAATATTGCTGTATCCACTATGTTGCTTTCCTATATTGCTGACTGTAGTTCGGTAAATTGTTGTTGACCAAGTGATTGTCAGAAAGAGTTTTTTTTTATTTATCAATAATCAATAACACATTATTTATTTATCAAATATATATATTTTTTATTATTATCAAATATTTCAATAAAATAGACATGTTTAATCATAAAAATCACGATCACATACGTGCTCATATGCACATTACTGGTACTTGTTGTTGGTAATATTCGATTCTACAGGGTGAAACTTATGCAGAAATAGTTATGCTATTGACACAAATCCTATACAAAATGGTAACTAACCTAATTAAGTATAGATGTTCTGGCTCATTTCACGATTTCGATCAATTCCAAATTGACCTAAGATCATTCTTGAATTTTCACCGATTCCAAAATGAACCAGATCAATCTTTAACGAAATTCCAAGGATCAGGATGTGACCAATCATCAGTATGACAAATAAGCACCAACTAATTTATTTACATAATTGATGATTATTTGTCACAGATGATTTGCCATGCTCCAAAATTTAATAAAAATGTAGAACTCAGAATTATTTAATTTCATTATACTATATTACAAATGTATTATGTATGTTAAATTAATTATGCAAAAAAAGAAATGAAAATAAATAAAGTCATGAATCGCAATTTTAAATACAACTTTCTTATTTTTTCTTAAAAATGGAACGATACAACTTTTTGGCGCGTGAAACCTTCGATAGAATATTAGAACCTTTTATTCGTCAAAGGAAAAACAATCACCATTTAATGGACCAGAATAAATATAATCAATATTTAACTGTACTTAAAAATCTAATGATTCACACAACCCACAATTTAAATATTGGGTAACTAATAATTTTAAACTTCTTTACGTTGGTGCGACTGAAGAACTTTATACTATTATATCAATTGAAAATGACCTGGAGACGCAAGTTTGTCCTATTGAAAACTTTTATGAAATAATCTGTGCCATGCACCAGGCAACGGAGCATGCTGGTCGAGACAAAATGTGGCGAAAGGTTTTTTTTATTTATTATAATTTTATTTTATTACCTATTATTATTTTTTTTATTCATTACTGATATTAATATTTACATGCAAATAAAAAGATTCGCATACAGTATTGTTTTATCCTGCAAAAAATAGTTGAAGATGCCATTCGTGAATGTAAAGTTTGCATTACCAGATGTGCCTTTATAAAGGTTCTACTAATCCGTCCAATAGTTTCTGAGGGTTTTTTGCATCACATGCAGATAAAAGTTATTGCATGTTTTTTATTTTTCTTTTATTTTTTTTTAAATTAATTAAAAAAATTTTTTTGTAGATAGATACTATTAACATGACATCAACACCTGACAGAATGTATAAATATATTTTTCATATTAGGGATCATTTTTCTAGGTTTTCATATGCGGAGCCCTTAGAATCTAAGACAGCTGAAGAAGCTGCAGCTTGCTTATTCAATTTTTGCATGATTCACAGCCCTCCCATAATATTACACTCTGACAATGGCGACAAGTTTTTTGCTAATATTATTGATGAGATGTTAAGTCTCTGGCCTACTATCAAATTGATCCATGGCAGACCAAGAAATCCATATTGTCAAGGAATGGTAGAAAAAGGAAATGGCATTCTTCAATCCAAATTAGGTGCCTGGATGGAAGAGACAACTTGTAATGATTGGAGTATCAGATTGAAATTTGTTATTTGTATGTATTTTTTTTTTATCTATTATCATTAATTTTAATTCTTACTATGTGAAATAACAAATTCTTTATTTAATTTTTATTTAATTTTTTGTTATTTTTTATATTTTTAATTTTTTTTGATTTTATTTATTTATTTATTTAATTTCTTATACATTTATTATTTTTTAATATTATACTATTTAATTAATTAATTATTTATTATTATTATAATTAAATTTTAATATTATTATAATTATTTAGGGGCCATGAATACTCAGTATTGTACAGCACATAAATCAATCCCTTATAAATTAGTATTTGGACAGCTTCCCCATTGCGATACTAATTTAGCTGATATATTGGAAAATGAAGAATCATTGAATAATCATGCCCTAGTATCTGAAGATTCCCAATCGACTATTGTTTCTGAAATCAATAACAAAACAGCAGAATCAGAACTTGATGAAATATATTTTGAGGAATTACAAGAGGTAGAATCAGACTTGATGAAATATATTTTGAGGATTCACAAGAGGTAGAGTATTAACTAGATTCAACCAATTGGAATATTGAGTTTATATTGTAACAAAATATCTAATTAAAATAAAATTCAGGTTTAAAAACAAATCTGGTTTCAAACTATAAATACAGGAAACCAACGATATAGGTGAAATACAAGATAATGCAGGCGAAATGCAGGATGATGCAGGCGAAATGCAGGATGATGCAGATGAAATGCAGGATGATGCAGATGAATTACAGTATAACAATGATGATGATGACAAACAAGAGTTTAATAATAAATCATTATATAATTTTGAAATTAGAGAGTTTGATAATGAATCGTTATATAATTCTGAAATTGAAGAGTGTTCTAAGCACACACTAACCCCAGAAATTATTGAAATTGTCAATTCAGATATGATTCAAGTGAAAATTAATGTTATACTTGGCAAAAAAAAGAGAAGTGGCAGTCTCAAATGAATGAAATCAAGGTTAATTACAGTAGACTAAAAAAAATAAATTAAAAAAAATTTTAAATATTAATAGTTAAAAAAATTTTTTTTTTATAGCCATCAACTAGTACAAGTTTAACCTGTCCATCTTTTAAACAACATGAAACAATTCGACAATCGGCTATTTTAAATATAAAGAGAAACCAGGAGCTTATATGAAGTAGAATGAAGAAAAATATAAAAGTAAATGTAAACGAATATTTGAGCCTAGTAAATTTGTTAAAATTCGTATACTTGATATTAACAAGAATAAAATAAGCCAAAGGTCCTTACCATGCAAAGTCATTCAAAAAAAACCAAATATTGATTCATATCAAGTTGCTTGCCAGTATGGGATGCTTGAACATTAGTATCTAGCAAGCGAAATTGAACCACTTAGAACTTCAGATTATTCCTCTCTTAATGTAGTTCAATTAAACAAAACTATTTCATTAAGACAAGCAAGCTTTAAACAAAATAATGAACGATTGAGTCAATTTTCAAGCCAAAATAATGAAAGCAATAATATAATAGTTTGATTAAGTAAGTATATAAATTATTACATAACAATTATATAATAGTGAGCTAATAAATTATAATTATTTAGCAATAATCAACCATGTTCAAATTGTTGTGCTGTCGAAAATCCAACTGCTCCACTAAAGCTTGTTCTTGCCGAAAAAATAACTTACTATGTACACGGCGATGTGGATGTGTTCTACGCAATGATTGTAAAAATCAATAAGAATTTTATTTAAGTTTACACTATGCAAATTTTTTTTATATGCCTCATTGTGCATTTTTATTAATTATGTGATTTTTTTTATATGCATTTTTTATTAACTATGCAAGTTGTTTTTTAATTAATTGTATGTACATATAGCCGAACCACCCTACAATCACCTCCCATATAAGTGCATCCTATAAAAATTCTCTTCATAAACACTTCCAACTATTATAAATGTATAAGGAAAAAACCTCTGTTTAACGATAGCACAACTCTTTGTAAGCACATTTTTTAAAAAAAGTTACTATGATCCTGATAGTGTAATTCATATTTTTTTTATTAATTATGTGAATTTTTATTGGTTTATATTATGCATTTTTTACTATGCGAATTTTTTTTTATTTGAAGCATTTTTTTTTCTAATATAGCTATTTTATTATAAAAAAAATTTATATTTTTTTAATTTTTTTATGTAAAATTTTTTATGTTTTATTTTATGCGAAAAATATTGATAATATAATTAATACATTGCTTAGTAATATAATTTATTGTATGGACGTATAATTTTTAATTTGATATTTTTAAATTTTTCACCGTTCACGAAATTTTCACTGTTTGCGAAATGAACTAGTTCATTTCAGAATTCAATAATGATCTAGGTCAATTTGGAATTGATCAAAATCGTGAAATGAGCCAGAACATTGATACGCATCAGAATTAAGAAACAGTAAACAATTCGTTATCTATTTTTTTTTCACCCTTCTTCCAAAAGAAAAAAAATTCGCTGAGAAGTCATCGATATTATCGAGATTATCAAATAATCAGACCAATAAAAAATCTGAAAACAAAAAAAAGAAATACCACAAAAGCAAGAAATTCAGATTAGTAAAACACGTAAAACTGACATTTTTTATGACATCAGAGCAAATACGAAATGACTGTAGACCAAGAGGGACTAGTTAGAAGTTACTAGCTAGAAGCTAAATAGCTAGAAGCTAATAGCTAGAAGCTATAGTAACATGTATTTAAAAAGGTCGAATGCAAATTTCCTTTTAAAGGGTTGTGAGGAAACTGTTTTGACGATCATTTAACACAAAACAACCAAAATAGTCATGGCACTAACCATTCAAGGTGAAAAGTAATCACACAGCATGATCAAACACAGCAAAACCATTACACCGCATGACTGTATATAGTAAAGGACAACGGTCAAAATTAAAAATGTCCAATTAAAACCCCGAATTACTATTAATAAGGGTAGCTGCGCAGCGTGTGACGCGGCGCAGGACCAGTACGATCATGTACGCTGTTGTGAAAAGCTCAAGGAAATCAATTTACCTATTCTCCTTTTTTTTTGTTTTCTTCTATTGGTAGAATTAGACCCCATAACTTCTCCAACGCAACTTATACTTTCTCAACATGCAAATTCGATTATTCAATTAATTTTCACCAAGTAAATTAAATCAGATTATAATAACTATTACCGATTCTCCGTAACTATAATTACAAAGATAATGAAAATAATAAGTTGTATTTCGAGATCCTGTGGCTGTATTAGACCCGGACCAAGAATTTTAGAGTCTTCAGCCCGGAATTTTTGTGTGACCATAATTAAAGGTATAGAAGTTTTGACATGATAGGTTAATATTTCCTCTTCCCTTCACTATACAATCTACTCAGGGTATGAATCAAATGCTTAATGTAAAATATCTAGATACTCGGTAAAAATTTATTGGCTAATTAGCACATGATACTTTTCGCATGATCCTTATTTGGGGGTCATTAAAGCCGGGTTAAAAATGTTACGTTTTTGATGTTTTTAGAGTTACATTTTTGATAAGTATCAAGAATACAATTTATGCAGTATGTAGATCATTATATGAAATCTGCACCGCTTTTAAGGGATCCCATAAATTTGGACATGATCTACATGCTGCATAAATTATCTTCTTGATACTTAAACAAAAACGTAACCCTAACTGCATCAAAAAAAGTAATTATAACGCACCTTGCCTTAACGTTCCCCCTTATTTGGGATGGTCCCTCCTGTTTGAGTTAACACGAGTCCAGTCATATCATGGAACAATCATATGACCCCTGATCTGCGTGATTGTGAGACCCTGGGATCTTTAAAAATCGGATTGATAATCAAAAAATGTGCTGATTTCAAGTTTCACGTTCTCGCGTTTTAAAACTTTCATTCAAGCAACAAAGTCAAACAACGGAAACTTTAACGGCGTTGAACATTACCGAGAACTAAAAGCTTTTTAATTAAACACACTACAAATGTGGAAATTTTTTCTATTATTTTTTTTACAAACAACATGAAATGTTTGCACGACTATTTCGAAAATTTTTTTGAAATACAAATAATATATTAAATGAAATGAAGGTAAAAAGCATATTGTATATTTTATATATGTAACATTTTTTAAATATATGATGACAGAAAAAACCTCATTAATGAGTCCAAAGAGAGATAGGTTATTTATAATAGAAAGTTAGAATCTCAAGTTAATGCGCAGAAAGACTTCCAACTTTCTTCTAAAGTACTCGGGCAGAGATAAGGTCTTCTAATATTGTAATATGTTTTGCAGAATTATCTCAAGTCTCCTCTAAGCGCGATACTAATTAAGCATCGGGCAGAGATAAGGTCTTCTAATATTGTAACATGTTTTGCAGAATGATTTCAAGTCTCCTTTAAGCGCGATACTAATTAAGCATCGGGCAGAGATTAATTCTCCACCTTGCGCGTTGCTGGATGTACTCGTGTGGAGATTCGAGTCTTTCAACATTTTAGAATATAAAACGTGTTTCGATAGGAAGATTAATTCTCCACCTTGCGCGTTGCTGGAAGTACTCGTGTGGAGATTCGAGTCTTTCAAACATTGCAAAATATAAAACATGATTCGATAGGAAGATTTTATTCTCCACCTTGCGCGATACTTCATGCAAAGATTGGTGCAAGTTTTTCTCTATTACAAGAATACATTGCTGGGTATAAGCGCATGTAGAGATTCAACTTGGGACTTTTATTGCCTGAAAATAGGTTTAATGCTAATGCTAGAATGTTATTACTATTAGATATTCTAATTTTTTTCCCTTGGATTTTTTTTTCAGAATAGATACTTCTGCATGATTATATATCACATAATAATAAAACGTAATAATGTATTATATTATTTACTGGAAAATTTTATGGGAAGATAACACCTCCGGGTAAGCTTGCTTAAGCTATCTTAAATTGATAAATTAAAATGTTAAAAATAATAGTAATAATGACTTTCTCTATTAATTAAGGGAACGCCTATTACCACCATGAAAATTTGCTATTTCCACCATGCTTTTCACATGAGTTTCAGCTACATAAGCATGTTTTCATGGTGGTTCCCTGAAACGTACGTTATTTTCAAATTGACATAAATTGAGAATGACGCATAACATTTCCACAATTTGATGTAATTATAATCGTCATGTTTATGTAGCAGTATGGTGGAAATAGCAAATGACCATAATCTTACCTGGAAAACTAAGTCAAAACTACTTCTCGATATTTCAATTGATTTATATGATATTCACAATCATGGTAGAAATAGACTTTCCCTAAATTAATATTAGTTATCAAAATGATGAATAGGTTCTTTTACATATTTTGCAAAGTACGGTCTAAATTGTGACAAATTAGTTTATCAATAGATCATTTACATCAACTTAGAAGGTTAAGTTGGTCGATATAATTACAAATATAATTTGGGTCGAAAATGCAAAAATGATAATTCTTTCTGTATTGGCTTCCATCTCTATTACTTTCTTTGCTTTCTTTTTTATTTGCGTTTTAGTTACAATCTAATATCGATTCTTCTAAAAAGGAACTTTATCCCATATATTCCATACAGAGTGCAATATGTTAGGTAAGTTCATGCGCAATTTTCCTTTATTATTTATAATATTCCTTAATCAACAAAATTCACTAGATCGTGAATTACAAGAAATAGATTTAGTCCACACGAATTTAATATATTGGTTTCATAACATGAAACTTTAAAAAGCCCACCCGGTTATTTAAAACATAAAAAATTTTTTTTTTACAAGTTTTCAAATTTTGACCTAGCTGGATTATGAAAACATATTAATTAATTTTGAATGGCCTTATTGTCTCTTAACTGAGAAAATACACGATGTCTGTTTCTATAATCCTTGGAAGGAATTTAAATACAATTATTGTTAACCAAAAAACAACAAAGAATTATTATTGATATCTG